ACGAATATTTGCTGCATGTGGTTCATATGTTTATACAATATGGATAATACAAAAATCTCTTCCATCTATGTTAACATTATGTCAGATGAAAATAAAAGAATATTTATTAAATAATTCATTACAAAATCTTGATAAATTATTTTTACCAAATAATCTTAAACAAAATCTTCAAAATTTTTATCGTTCAACAATAAAAGGTTTTTTACCTGAACAAAAAACTTTACGTTCATTTGTATGTAATCCATTAAAATCTCATCTTCGTTTACAATGTACAATGAAACGTATTGATAATGAAATAGATAATTCAACAACAATGCCAACAACAACAAATTTATCTGGAGCTACATATGTTTTATATTTAGAATATCTTGGTGGTCTTATACCATTATTAACAGCTAAACGTATATCAAAAATTTGTCCTGATTTTATTATATTTGATCCACAAATGAAAACAAATTATTCATCATTATCATCATCAATAAAACTATCATCACAAAATAAACATTTATCTTCTGTTCGATCACGATCAAATACATTTCATAATATGTCATCTGTACAGCAACAAACAAAATTATCAAATAATAATAATAATAATAATAATCGTACAAGTTTAATTACAAATAGAAATTCAATATATGTTATTGATAATAATATTAATAATAATGGTGATGATTTAATAACAAATCGAAGTAGTTCAGGTTGTAGTTCGGATAATGATTCTGAATTAGAAGAAGAACTTAAACAATATGATAATATTAGAAATAATGTACAAGAAAAATCTTCAAAAAAAACAAAAATTGTTAAACATAAATATGTAAGACATAATAAAAAACAAAAAAACAAAAGAAATTTTTTTAACCTTGATTCAACATTGACATATTTATGTAACAGATTGACATAATAGTAATATATAGTCTAACATATGGTGAATGAAAACAACATTCAAGTTTCATTATTTTCTATGATATTTAAAAACAAAAAAAAAGACTTCTACTAATTGAATTCATTAATAACAATTGCACTTTTAAAACACATTATTTTAATCAATTAAGCTTAAAAAATTTGTAATCAATATAGTTATATTTTCTTATTGAAAATCAACAGAAGAAAACTACGATATATAAATAGTATTCTTATCTCTTTCCTTTTGTTATATTTGACATTATCATTGTAAAAAGAAACAACAGCAAAAAAAAAAAAACAATCTAAAATTAGATATAAGTTGGTCAAACCTATCGACGTATACATACTTTTAACCTTGATTCATCCACTTAGAAAATGTCATAATTCTATTATAGTCGTCTCATTTGGATGCTACCTAAGGATTTTGTCGGTTTAATGTAGATTACATTGAACAGTAGCAAAGTGTATCTTTGAAACATTTGGTTTCGTCTGAGTGGCCAGATTAGGATTTAAAAAAAAAATGGAAATCCCTTCCATGTAATATAAGACTTCGTGTCTTCTATTATATTCAAGCGTTGAAACTTTTTAAAGAGATTTTCTATTGTATTTCATGATTTTTCGTTAAAAAAATTTTTCTAAAGAAAAACAAAATGATTTCGAAAAGAGATTTTTATCGTTCATCGAGATTATTTATATGACATTGAATAGCAATTGTTTTGCTTTTGTATCTATAATAAACAATAGAGGATTAGAGTTAGCATTTATCGGAGACATTATTTTTTTTTCAATAGTTTTCTATTTTCGACTAATTTTTTATTGTATCCGGTACATTTTTTCTTCAAAGAGAATATTCTATTATCAGAAAAGGATTTATATTGAACAAGAAATTACTCAGATTTTCTGAAGATTTTTATCGAATCTATATTCATTATTTAGATGTAATGAAGCAATTAGAATTCATTCTATTTATAATCATGAAACAATAAAATCATATAGGCTATTGATCAATAGAACCCCAGGAGATATATAAGTTCAAAAAGTTCAACAATATAAATTGACATTCAATTTGTTATTCATATCGCATATATTTCTCATATAGATTTTAATAATAATAAATTTTTACTCATTTTATTTATAATCAAATATAATTCTTTAATTTAATTGAATAATTATTAAATTTTGTTTTTTTTTTATCGTTAGAAAATAATATATAAAAAGAAAAACAACACATCAGCAGATTTTAGTACTTTCAAAACTATATAGTACTCTTTAAATTAATATAGAAAATTATAATTCATTTTTGTTCTATTAAAATAATCAAATATTGAAAAAGATTCATGAAGTTTGAATTTTCTTTTGTTTTGTTTAGAATAACAAATTATGTACAATAGCGGCAAATATTTGGGGCACACGTTTTAAATTCTATGGTCATTCAAATTGTTTACCAGAAATTTTAGGAAGTGTTACATATAAAACTTCATTTTTACATTTACAACCACGACAAATGACAGTTACTGTTGCTAATAATAATTATAATATTCGAAAACAAAAACAATATTCTAATGAAAATAAAAAAAAAAAATTAATTAATCCAATTGTTCGTAAAACAAAACAACAAATACGTAATAAAATTGATGAAGACGATGATGATGAAACATTAATAGGTTAAATTTCAATTTTTTCCTATTTTTTGTTTTTGTTTTTATAAATATTTTCTTTTTAGCTCTTTCATCATCAAAATTAAATATAGCTGCAAATATTCCAATAGCACCAATGTCTCCTCAATTACAAAATACACATTCATCTTTACTTCGATCACAACACCAACAGCCACAGCAACCTTCATCATCCACCAATGAATCAAAATGTTCAACTCAGGTTAAAAAATTCTCACATATATCATCAAATTTATCAACACATCGTTCACAATGTGCATCAATGACTACAACTACCATGACAAATCATTATCATCGTCATCCACAAACAAATGCTGATTCATCAACAGCTAATTCTTCATCAACATCACCAATTAATTTAAGTCGTTCAACATCACCAGCAGCATCAATAGCAAATTTTATTCGTCCTATATCACCACCATGTATTCAAGTTAAAGAACCATTATCACCAAAATTTACTCGAACATATTCAAAAACTATAACAAATAATTCAACACATTATCGTCATTGTTCACCACCAATAACTGTTCCATCAATAGCAAATAATATTGATGCATCAACAGCTAGTGCAACAACAACATTAATTATTGATGATTCATCCGGTTATGATAGTAGTGAAAATCAAAATAATCAAACAACTATAGCAGTTACTAATGCTATTCCAAATTCTTCAATTATTTCAACTGTACCAGAAAGTTGTTTTGAACCTGAAACATATAGAAATTTATATTCATTTAATAGTAATCAACAAAAAAAATTAAGTTTTAGTGATCCAGCATTAAATCAAACAACAAAACTTTTATATAGTTGTCAACAGCAACAACAACAACAACAAACAACAACAATAACAGATAATTCACATTTATCCGCATCATCTTTACAAAGACAACTTTCACATGAAGATCCTGATATTCAAATAAACAATGAAAGTGAACAATTAAGTTCATATGAAGATAGTTCAACAAAAGAAAAATTAAAAACTAATAATAGAAATACTTCTCGTAAAGTGAGTACCATTCTCACTAGAGATGCACGGGACCACAGGAGAGAGGGAAGTTGCCGAGATCAGGACCGAGACTGATATTATTCCAATATAGTCTCGGTAGACTCTTTCTGTCAAGAATTAAACTGCACATTTTTGTCTTTATTATTCTATTATAATTAGGAATAACTAAATCGATTATTTTTATTTACGAAACAAAGTCTTTAACTGATTCTGGCTTTGATTTCAAGAACCAAAATTTTTCGATATCTAGCAAAAAACCTAAATGGAGCAAAACAAACAGTTTTCTATATCTTTTGTTTTGATCTATGCATATAAAGAGATTCTGGTACTATCAGTGAGTTTAAATCATTTATTCAACTTTTATATATATATTCAAAGAATAATACATATTACAGAAACAATTACTTCGTTGTAGAAACGAAACCATATCTAAGAGTTCGAGGCTACAGTCAACACAAAACTTTAATCAGGATCGGAACCAGCACAACGAGACAGTACAAGATGTTTTTTAAGATTTAATATGAATAAATTCTAGAATAATTTTCTCTGGATCGGGACTACAAAATTTGATTCCGCACTTCTCTAGACCTAAATGAGTTAATTTTCGATTGTTATAAAAATAATTTAAATCTAAATTTTAGCGACATTCAAGTTCCCGACATCGGATGATGACATGTACGAGTGGAACAAAGGATTCATTAACAAGATTATCACCATCCTCGGAATTGGATCAATTAATAAATCGTACGGACAATCAAAATGATACAACATTTTATGTGATGCAAAATCGACCACCGTAAGTTTTCAAAAATTTTCCAAAAATTTATTTATGTTATTTTATTGATTTAAGTTTATGGAACGAACAATCACAAGTATATCAATTAGATTTTGGTGGTCGTGTTACACTTGAATCAGCAAAAAATTTTCAAATTGAATTTAAAGGAAAACAGGTTAATTATGAATTGAAAAAGATTTTGTATTCTAAATGAAAATTATTCAATTTAGGTTATTCAATTTGGTCGTATTGAAAATAATTGTTATACACTTGATTTTGAATGGCCGTTTTCACCTTTACAAGCGTTTTCTGTTGCTCTTGCAAATATAACTCAACGACTTAAATAAGCTCTTACATCTGTGGTTTATCATTAGTTTTTATATAAAAATTTCTTGTTCGTTTTCGTTGGTTTCGTTCGATGAATGATCGTATTCTTTACGTCTACTGTTGTTTTTTTTTGTCATAAAATTTTATCTGTGCATGTATTCGTCTTTGTTTTTTACTTTTTTTCTTGTCTGTGTTCGTCCGTTATTTGCCAGTATATGTATATTTGAAAAAGAAAACAAAGAAAATAAGTTTAGAAAAAAAAAAATTCTATATCTTTATGGCAGACAATATCGACATAATTTGCAGATATAATATGATAGTACGTGTCGGTTATATTCTATTAATCATTTGTATATTTGTACAATGTGATCAGGATGAACCAGCTAAAACACATATTGGTAAGTTTAATGAGATGAATAAGGTATAGAATATTTATTTTTCTGGTTTAGCAATTGTTGGTGCTGGACTTGGAGGTATATCAACAGCTTATTGGTTAAAATATTATTTAAATGATTCTGTTGCAATAACAATTTATGAATCAGATCAAGTTTGTTTATCATAATTTTTTTTCGAAATATTCGTTATTTATACAAAATATATCTAGGTTGGAGGTCGATTGAAAAATGTAGATATTGATGGAAATGAATATGAAGCTGGTGGATCAATTATACATGAGAAAAATTTATATATGAAACGATTTACTGATGAATTAGGTGAGATCATTTTCTTGTTTACATCAAATATTTTCAATAAAAATTGGTTTTTTTACAAGATAAAAATAGATAGACTAAATAAGTTGACAATATGTTGAGATTAATTATAAAATAATATTATGAGTAATATATGTACCTATGTTATAGATGTGCAGTGTTGGTGTAAATACTGACGGTGAGTCAACGACACAGGATTCACTGATTAGAAAGGAAGGAAGAATATTCCTGACTTTCAGCTAACTTATGATATGGGATGCTACCTAGCAGCAGATTCACTAGCCCAATATCTTCTCTATAACTATGACTAGCTGTAGCTCTGGATAGGAGGCAGGCCTGACTCAGAGCTCTTGTGCTCCCCTCATACTCACTAATTAACTGTGAGAGCAGGTGTATGTCACAACATAGTCAGCATGTCATCGAAGGTATAATCCGAGACAAATAACCATTAGTGACTTGTTCAGGATCATTCAACGGCTGGTCGTATTGACATTTACATATAGTATCTTACGTATACGTGTCGAACAACGTAGCTACTCAGCCATGGCGGCCACTGATTAGAGATGTACAAGGTTACCTTACGGGATAGGGTAAGGGTTAGAAAATTTTTTCTCAATCAGAGCACAAAACAAACCTACACTGCACATGTTTAGTACTGATCATATTGGCATTGGTATTTACTGAAGCACTAACTACACTGGTATCCGCATTTACTGCAACGTTGAAACTAGGGATCACACTTTCAGTAAACTGTTCACCGAAAACTCACATTGATTATACTGGATCGGTGTTCACTAAATTACCTGACATATGCATACTGTACTGAAATACATATTGATTTTTTGCATATTTAGGTTTAAAACGACTTAATGTACCAAGTTCAATGCCATATATAATGACTAATGATGGTTCTCAAACATTATTTTCTACTTTATCTCGTTATATTCCAAATGTATTTCTTATTTTATGGCGATATGGTGTTGATGCATTGCGTTTGAATTTTTGGCTTGACAAAAAATTATCGAATTTCGCTCGGTAAATCGTTTGTTTTTCTTGTCTTTCGGAAATATGCATTAACATAAATATTTTTTTTAGTATATATGATTATCAAGATAATGGCCGAACATTTAATACAGTTGAAGAATTTTTACAAATGCTTGATCAAGATTTTTATACAGCAACACGTTTTTCATTTCGAAAATATTTATTTGAAAAAGGTTTTCATAAAAAATTTATTAATGAAATTGCACAAATAGCAACTTTAGTTAATTATGATCAATCAGTTGATACAATAAATGCTTTTCCTGGTAAGATTTTAAACAAAAAAAAAAAAAAAAAAAGAAAGAAACTAATGATTTATTTTTTTCTAACTAATATGATTGATAAGATTTCATAGATCAGTTATTAATCATTACTTTTTTCTTTAATTATCCATGAGTCTTTTCATAGTTCTGATATTTCTGTATATATCTATTTGATAAATGATATTATCTTCTAATAATTATCGACCTTCATGTCATACATATGTGGCAACAACAATAATATTATTGTTTTTGGTTAATAAATTACCAAGTTTGAAATGACAAGGACTTTATCAGTGATTAGTGTGAGTCGTCATTGATTTGCTTTAAGATATATGAGCGAAAACAATAAGTCATGTCAGAACGACTTTTTTCGAATCTTGCAATACTTTTAGAGTTTCTATTACGACTTTATTTTTTGTATTTGAAAAAATCTATCATTATCAAACACTAGCTTCTATTAACATCGTACTTAATACGATATGAGTTGGTTTTAAGAGAGAAAAAAAATATTAGCACATCAACAATACCGATAGAAAATATGATGAAAACATTCAAAAGGAGAAGAAATGCGAGATAAATTAAATAATAGTTCTTTCGAAAGTGATAATCACAAAGAAAAATAATAGTTGTAATAATTGAATTACAAATTAATGAATGAACATATGTAATTTTTTTGATTATAGAAATTTGCTATTTTAATTAATACAGGATGCAAAAGTCTTTGGACAAATGTCGAAATCTATTTATCAACAATGAAATATTAGATTGACTTCGACTTGAAAAAACAAAATGTTGAGAGTATATACATAAAACAAAACAAAACAATTTTCAGCATATGTCAATTTTTTGATATCGTTTTCGCGGGATATTACATGACCGTCTTCGATTTGACTTTGATTCTTTGTAAGGTTTACTTTTTTGAACAAGTTCTTTTTCCATGAATATATGTAATAGTATTGGATCTTTAAGCTCGTATATAATTAATCTTAATTAGTTAATTAATTAAAACGTAGTTAGTAATTAATGTCTCATATTACAATGAAAAAGTCCTAGATTTTAAGAATAGACTGTACGCTATAGATTAAATCTATGATGAAATTTTCAGTAAGATCGAACTAACTTTCCATACAGATTTTGTAGCGTGAAGAATCCTCTACAAAACACATTATTTGTTTTTCAAAAATACTGTTTGAACTTGTAGAATTTGTAAATGGACATGCACTCAATGAAAACCTTTGCCTTTTCTTGTATCACATCGCTAATATTGGTTTTTTAATAATAACTCGGCGGAACTAGAGTCTATAGGACGGAACTGTTTAGGATATCTATAATAAATCAACATACATTTGTTTCATAACAATTAACTAAAATAAATGCTGTCCGAACCTAGAGATATATACGTTTTTATTTTGTGAAATCAAGACGCTTATGAATGGAATTGCCCATATATGAAATCAATATAGTTTATTTTCGATTTTATTGTTGATTAGAAATTGAAATAATATTAAATAATTTTTGCATATTGTATCCAGTGTTTTTTTCAATGAAAACGATTATAATAAAGATCTCACAGTTGCTCATTGATAGGAAGAAAGGAAGTATACCATTGTTTTTCATCTACCTTACAGTATGAAGTGCTACCCTAGCAGCAGATTCAACAGCCCAATATTTTTTCTACAACTACGATTAAGTATGTCAAATGTAGTCAGTATACTATCGAATGAATGATCCGAGACAAATAGCCGTTAGTAGCTTGTTCAGAGTCATTCCATGGCTTGCGGTACTGAGGTTTTCACACAGTATCTTGAGGGTACTTGTTGAATAACATAGATACTCATCTATGACAGTTTGTGCTCATTGGATTTTAGGAATTAAACAGTTGATTGATGTTGCAATATAAATTATATTTCAAAAGACTTTAACGAAAATGATTTTCTTGACTCATCATAAACGGAATAGTCTAAAAGTTTAAACCTAAATTTTATTTATTTTTCGATTAATATATTCTTAAATAATGTGTTTTTTTTTATTATCTATTCATAGATAGCTAATGATCTATAAATTTTACTTTTTTAATAAAAAATATTTTAGGTCTTGTATCATTAATGGCTTCGGCTTCTACACTTTGGCATGTAGAAGGTGGTAATTATCTTGTTCCTAAAAAAATTCTTGAATATCTATTAAAACAATCTGATGTTCAATTTGTCAAAGGATATGTTAAAAGTGTTACAGAAGTTCATCGTATTGATATAGATGATCAAGGTGGTAATGTTCGTCTTTCATATAAACCATTAAATAGTGATCTTGTACATGCTGTTGATTATGATTATGTTATTATAGCTTTTCCACTTCATCGTGATAATATGAATGATTTTGTTTTACAAACAACTGATAGTTTTAATCAATATGATTATCGTATGCAATCAACATATGCAGATTTTCTCTATGGCAAACTTAATTGTCAACAATATAATTTAACAAAAAGTGAATGTGAAAGATTAAAAGCTATTTTTTATACAAATCCATCATTACCATATCGTAGTGTTGCTCAACAACAAACTGTTAATGAGAATGAAAAACAATATAAAAAAAATGACAAACCTGTATATAAAATATTTTCACCAAATAAATTATCTTTATCAGATTATAAACAAATATTTGATAATGATAATTTTCAACTTATTCAAGATATACCTTGGTTAGCTTATCCAAAATATGAACATCCACAAAAAATGCCACCGATACAAATAAATAAAAATATTTTTTATCTTAATGCAATGGAATGGAGTTCATCATGTATGGAAATTGAAGTGATTAGTGCACGAAATATTGCTATGCTTCTTACAAAAAAAATCGGAATTGAACTTAAACGAAATGATAAACATATTGAATTTTGATATGTTTATGTTTGTTTTTTATACATTCCTTTTCCTTTTCTACTTGAAATAAAACTCAAAGTGATTAATTTATTTTTGTAATTTTAGATAAGAAAAAAAAAAAGGAAGATCTAATGAACTCAGAAGAGAAAAAAACTTTCGATAATACATCAAGTTCTTATTTATCATTAAAAGCTGAATTATTACGTAAAAAACAAGATATTCAACGAGCATCATCATCATCTATATCTTCCACAGCTATACTCGATAATTTACAATCTACATCAAGTTCATTAAAACTTAAAGCAAAACCAGATTTAGATATTGAAATAGTTAATCCATCAAAAAAGAAAAAGAAAAATGAAGAAATTATTCCACCACCACCACCATCATCATCAACTTTATCTCGTGCAGAAGAAATAGCTTATGCTAAATCACGTGCTATTCTTGAAGCAAAATCAAAATTATATGATGAAATAATGTTAAATAGTGAAATGAAATTATTAGCTGAAGATGATGGTGATGATGATAATGATAAATCATTTCTTGTTGATTTTGAACGAAAAATTTATGAAACAAATCAAAATAATAATAAAATTGAATATACAGATTCATTTGGACGTACACGTTTTGTTACATCAGATGAATATGAACAACTTAAAACAACAGAAAAGAAAAAATCTTCGGATAAAATTCAATCAAATAAAACTGAAAATGAAATTGATCGTGTTGAACGTTTACATCGTGAACAAATGCGTAGTAAATGGGAATCAGACATGGAAGCATTAAGAAATAAAACTCAAGTACATTATCAAGATATATTATTTGATGAAAAACGTGAACATGGTGTTGGTTATTATAATTTTTCTACAGATGATAAACAACGTACTGAACAAATGGCAACATTAAATGAATTAAGAACAAATACTAAAATTGAACAAACAAAATTTATTCAAGAAAAAGAAAAACGACAATTAAATATGACTGAACGTTTAAATAAAATACGTCTAAGAAAAGCTAAAGAAATGGGTATTAATCTATCTGAAAATAATCTTAATAATAATCAAATAACATTAGAATGTACAGATAAATCACAAATACAATCCGATATTAAAGTAAATTATTAAGTGTTTCTACGAATGCACTACCACGATGTCAAAGATGATTTTTTTTTTCTTCATTACGAATGTAGTTCTTGCGGATAGTTTATATGTATCATGATCCATTAATTTTTTGCGCTATCCGAAACTGTAGTCAACAGAAATAGGATAGGTTCGTGTTTTTTTAGAATCGAGTCGATCTCATCTCTGGCAGTCAAATTACGTAAAAATAGGAAACAAAGGTTTCGAAATTGGTCAAAAATTCGTATTTTTTAATTTTTTTTCGGCCAACTCCAAGTATTTATGAGACCTGTCTTTTGAATTATACAAAATCTAAGAGTAGATTCGGAAAGAACATTCAAAACTGAATACAATTGGCATGAAGAACTTCGAAGAGCCCCGTAATTCTCAATACTGGACATGTGTTTTTGTAAGCCAGAATAAACCAATTTTCATCAATTATCGAAGTTTAGCATATTGAGATTTATCGGTCTACTAGCGATTTTTCATGCCAGTTGTGTTCAATTTTGAACGCTCTTTCTAAACCTATTTTTAAGTCTTGTCAAATGCCAAAACACAGGTCTTAAAATCAGTTGGAATTGGTCGAAAAAAACAAAAAAAATGCGGACTTTTGCCCAATTCCGAAACTATTGTTTTCTATTTCATGTATTTCGACTACAGCTTTGCAGAGAGCAAAAACAAATGATTATCATGGATATGGACAATTCGCATGGAACTACAATTTAAATAAGGAAAAGAAAAATATCATCTTTAACATCATGTTCTAGAAATTGGTGCATCCTTAAATGTTTCTCCGTTTTTTTGATAAATGCTTTTATTTTCAAAGGAATTGCCGAATTCTTCGATTAATACAAAAGACGAAATTGTCGAACCAGTATCTATAGAAGAGAATGAAGGCAAACCAAAAGAATTAAACCATGCAGACATTATACAACCAATACAATCACAAATATCAGAACAAGTTTATCCTTTTAGCAAACTTTTTAAATTTAATCTTATCTTATATTTTTCTTTAGACATTGCAAACGACTCTTACTCAACAGCAACAATCATCACTTCAAAACAATAATCCAACATTAAAAAAGTCAAATTCATCTTTTGCTTATCCATTTCCGGTCATGCGAGCTAGTAACACATCATCATCATCAATATCAAATAATCATAATTTACATTCATCTAATAAACATTAATTATTGTGATACATATATCATATTTTGTTTCATTAAAATAAATTCTGTGTTTTGTAGATAAAAGAAAAATATTAAAAAAATGAAATCTCTATTAGTGAACATCTCCCATAGCTGAACACGTCATTTTTTCTTTCTCTCTTCTTCATCATTTCCGATTAATGCGCTAAAACTATGGTTTATTGTTTGTTATAACTGTACATATCAGAAAAAGCAATGACATTATAACATAATTTTATATTAAATAAAAAAATCAACTAATCAATGATTACAACAATAGTAATGATTTATCACAACGTGAATTAGCTGAAAACTTGAATATTTGACTTGGTTCTATATCCAATATTTGAAATTGAAAAACTTAAAAAATATTTAAATGCTTATCAAACAAAACCAAAATCAAAGTATTAAACGAATATTTAAAAATTTTGACATAATAAAACTTGATAAATTGTATCGCAACGTTCATTAAATTCACATATATCAAAATCAAAAAAATAACACACGACTTTGTGAACTAAAACAAAGTTTTGTATTCTTTTGGACTCATAGGTATCCTAATGAAGAAAGATGAACAACATAGAGAATTGTTTCTGATTACTTCAAAACTAGTAAAGAAGCTTATATTCTAAAACTTTTTTTTTCATTTGATAATAAATTATATGACATTTCCCATAGATAAACACTTTTTTAACTTCAAAGAAATAAATTCATATGAAGAAAGTCATAACTTTAAAATACCTAAAAACTTATTCAAATTAATACAGCTGAATTGCATAGTGTTAATAATTGAATTTTGCATATTGAAAGGACATAAAAAAAAGCGTTTTGTTGAAAATGTATAAATATAAAACGTTGAATATTTATTCTTCTATATTGATATCAATAAGACCACTATAGTCATCAATATCATAATGTCCTTGTACAAGACAAAATAACTATGATTAAACAAATTATTCGACGATAAAATAACAATGTGTACGATAGATTCAAAACATAGTGCAACTATCGCATCTCTTTAAAACATGCTTCACATTTTCAAAATATTTTATTTAATACATTCGATAATTTTATTCAATAAAGAAGAGACGAAAAGAAATACAGAAATATTGAAAATGATTAAAAAAAAAATCTACTGTTCTATTTTTTGCCACCAGCTGCGCTCCATGCTTGATTCCAAGCAGGCCATGATGCAAGATCAGGACAATAACGTGGATGAAGGAGACGTTCACATTTGTCTTCATATCTATATGAAAATAAATAATACTTTAATATATATATGTATATGTAAATTCATAATTCAGTTTACTTTTTCTTGGCTTCTTTCATATGACTTTTAGCATCACTAAAGAGTCGACGAGATTGATCAAGAAATTGGCTAGCATCATCTTCGTTTTGAAGAAAATCACGAATAGCTCGTTTTTCATCTAAAAATCCAAATAATAAATATAAAAATAATAAAAAGAAACCAAACCAATATTTTTCTTACCACGTAAAGAAGCATCATCTACACCATCGGAATTATCATCATCACCACCACCTTCAACACTATCGCTATCACCAGCATACCTATCAGTTAATGTTAATCGTTCACATTGTGCCAATATGAATAATAAACCAAAGAGCATCAATAGCATAGCAAGATATTTAGAATTCATCGTTTTTTTTTTATTGATATACCTGTATAATATTCATAAGCAACTTTAATAGAACACGGAGAAAAAAAAAAAGAAAATGTAACAGTTACCTATTCGATTCTTAGATTTCTTTGAGTATGAAAAGATCAAATGTACTATATCCATGTTTGATGCTCTAGCTTTTATATTTGGATAAAGTTTGCATTTTTTTTCTCTCACTTGCTCTCTCTCTCTCTCTCTCTCTCTCTCTCCTTCTCTTTCTCTCTATCCATTTTTTCTATATGTATGATACCGCCTGTTTTGATTGTGCATATAACGAAAAAAAAAAAAAAATATGTAAGTGATAGTTTTTAGAGATCAATAAAGCTAGGTAATGCTGGTATCAGGTATGATTAACGACTTTCTCCGTTCTTCTCTTTCTAGAATTTACCTTTAGATGGAAGAATATTTATGTTAGATTTATTTTGTTCGAATGGCATCGCTGTAAAAAAAAAGAAATTTGGTGGAAAAAACGGAGTTACATGTATGTATTTCGATTATTCTTTACTCCGAAACGATATTGTATGAATAAGTCGAAGAATAAATATAGAATATTATTTTGATCATAAAAATTTGCTTAAAAGATTTACTTGTGATTAAAGTTTTATTGAGATTAATATGTTTCTTTTGTAATTGAAGAAGAAGAAATTGTAGAATTTGTTCGAATTAAACAATAACAACAAATAATTTGTATGTTACATACTTGAATTTTTTTTTTCATTTTTTCAAAATATAATCATTAACAAAATAATTTCTTTTTATCTTACATTCAATCATCAAAAAAATGAATATTTCTCGATGAAAAAATTTTACTCTTCAATATTTTTCTTTAAGATAATGTTGCAATTAATGACTACTATTCAAAATAATAAGATTTATTCATAAATACTTTCAAAAAATTAGATAAACTTCAATGCAATTTTGATAGAATATGTACATTAAAATTACTATATAATAAATGACTAGACCTGAAATAATGGTTCCTATCATTGAGATTATATGTAAATTGTAATGACAGGTGAAGCTAAAATCTATTTATTGAAACTTGAAGAAGTCTTATAGAACTGTATGAATCAAAAACGAAATATGCTTATTATTAAACAAGGAACAAGTATTCAAATACGAAGATGAATAACAACGATAGAATACATCAAAGATTGAAATTGTCTAACACACAAAAAACATTTTCACTGATTAAAAATATTTCAGTAAAGGACATATGAATAATACCAAAAGTTTAAAGTAAACATTTAATATAAAAACAAGTCACTGCTAACTCATCGGGTGAAAGTCTTGGCATAAAAAATATTCAGTCATTTTTCGGTAGAGCTCGGCGATTCCAGCTCCAGACTCTTTCACTCTTTTCGAATATATGTTTAGAATGTCCTTCTGGAGTAAGACTGGACAACTATCATCAGCTTGTTGCAAAAGATGCAAAATAGTGGTTGTACAGAATTTTGATCAATTTTATATTTCAATTGAAACTTATGAAATTCAAAATGTGAAACATTTTTTAATGATTCAGTTTACTCTACAACGTGTACTATTTACTTTTACATGATAAGTTTTTAAATTTTTTATATTTTTAAAAGCAGTTTTTGAAATGGCAATTTTTTGACCAAAGTCGATTTTCATAGAAACTAGGTTTTTAGTAGAAATGCAGAGAGTAGATCTCGTGTTTTTTTTAATATCTCATTCTTTTAGAGAATTTAGTGCTGTACAATAATGTTAAGTTAAAGCTGTTTTCAGACATAGACTAAGGATTACGCCATAATCGCTGTTTTGCTTCGTAGAAACATAGTTTTGAACCTTTTCATAAGATCTACTACTTGTTGTTTAATCTTACCCTAGAGGGAAAATCTGAACATATATTTGAAAATAGTGAAAAATTCTAAGTCTAACTAATTGCTATTAGCTCAAGCTAGTTGTCTTTTAGTGACCAAAAAATTTTATGACAAGACTTTTGCACCATAGGTTAAAAGATGTTCATTATCAAATAGTTAGAATCTTATAAGCAATAACAAATATTAAAACGAATGTATATGTATTGCATAAGCGATCGAACGTTCTGAATCTATGGTAGGGTCAACGATTTTTATAAAATTCCCCCTGCAGGAAAGTTACGAATATGGAGGAGGAGAAGGAGAGGAGCGATTCTTTTTATTTCATTCAAATGACACAAAGTACTTCTAACTTTCAACTCACATTTTGTACTGTATGAAGTTGATACGATTCAGAAAAAAATCGTATCTTATATCAAAAAACATACACATGAAGAAGTACATCAACACTTGTCTTTAATTAATTTTTCGATTCTGCTTTATTGAAAAACAGAATAATAATGAATCAGTAGCATTCACAAAAGAAAAGGAATTCCAATTTGGGTTTGCCTACTTTATTGAAAATATTTCTTCAGTATGTAAGCTTAACCATTGAAGACGACAAAAATTTTCAGCATCTTGTAATTTATCTAACTCGAGTTTCATGTACAATTCTTCTTCACTTGTTACCAAGGAAGGCTATTTGAAATCATTGACAATGGAGAATCCAACAATGAATCATACAAAATTCAACATTTTTTCAAGAACGTTTTCTAAGTCAAAAATGCTTCTATTTGCTATTGAAGACAATGAAAAATTTAACTTTTCAACAAAACTTTCGATGCATTGGTTCAATCTATGAAATTGATAGAATGAGAAACAAATGTTTGAGCCTACGATATATTTGGTTACTAATTCGTTTAATCAGAAAAAAAATAGAATTTCTTTTTGCTTGATTATACAAATACTCAATTTTTATTGCCAATATTGCCGTATATATATATTCGAAGTAGAAAACATACTAAAAGTTTCAAAGAAATTAAAATCTTTTCCATATACTTCAAAACAAAAAAAAACAATTAAAAATAATTATGAATTCTAACCGCAAAACTAATACATCAAAGAATTAGACAAACATATATTGTGTGATATATATTATTATTATTATTATTTTGAATAAAATAAATACAATTTTAACAACATGTTGTTTTGTTGTGATAGAGAACGTTAGCAAAACAATTCCTTCATCAATTATCTTTTTTCAAAACAAAAACTATGATGCATGTGCTTTAATAATAGTCGTATTATACATCCATCAAATTATCTACACAAGATTTTCTTTCGTCGTTTAAACCATAAATTTCTCGTTGAATATTCGTATCTACATGATGTCGTCAATATAAGCATTTTTACTTATACAATACAAGTCCTTAATCCAATTAATGCTGTTATCATTCATCGACCATCCTACATATGCGTTACAAAAGAAAAAAAAAACAAGAAATAATATGGATATATTGCATTTCCATATAAGTACAACAATAAATCATATCATCGTTAGTAAGTACCATCATTGCTTTTTATAGAATGAATAAAAAGTACAAGAAATGAAATTGCGAAATATATAAATTGATTGGCATCTTTCGGTTTTTTTGACCTCAGATCTTTTCTTTCAATCGAAATAATAAATATGAAACAAAAACTTATTTTGCTGCGCAATTCTTTGTATACTAACATTTCATTTCGATTTTATATATAGATCATAAGATGGCAGTCGAATTTTTATAAACGAACAGTTTTTCCATCCAGAAAAAACTAAATGTGAAGAATAAAAACGAGAAACATCTGAAAAATATGAAGAACATTGAGAGCCAAATGTCAATAAATTAACTTGATCACATTATTGTAAGATTATATATTAATATTTAAGAATTATGAAGTAGGCGATGATTATAGCCGTTAGAAGAAAAAAATAACAAAACTTTTCTCTCAAAATCTGATCTATTCGACTTTTTTCATCATTTGAAATTCTTTTGAAGATTATTTTCATTTACTTTTACTTCTAATCAATAAATCTTGTTTATCATTTTAGATTGTGAAAATACTGGATAAATTCTTAAATGTACATTTTTTCAAAATCTGTCATCAATTAAATATGAAGAACAAGATGACTAGTAAAGTATGATGATAATCTATCTATGAAATTTTATTTAATTATTTTGTTTTTATAGTCAAGAATATTGTGAACCGTTTTTACTATTAAATGGAAATTGTATAAGGTGAAGAGAAGTGTATGCATTTGATATCCATACTTTTCGTGTTTTCCGCTGTAACAAAATCTGTACTTTGTATCACAGTGATCTAGAGAACGGCGAGTTGTTAAAAACTCATTTGAACTTTGTCAGAAAGCTCGATGTCTCGAGATTATACAAACGCTTTTGTATCTTCAAGATGAGTTTTCGTTCATCTTCAGTAAGTTCTGAAAAACGGTGATTTGACCTTCATCTTTTACCCGACATAATTAAAGGTGATGAGCTGATCTTCACTCAGCTGTTATGAGCAGAAGTGATAGTGACGATCTACGACAGGACAAGATCGGTTCTAGGTAAAATCGTTTATTGTTCTTATGTTAATTCGAATTCCATCGCAGGAATTTGAAATCACTTCGCACCACACTTATGTAGTCCTTTACAAATTTTTTTTTCTTACTAGACGAACATATCCAAAGTTATAATTTTCAGTTGTAATAGTCTCGAAAAACAAACGATCAGAGAATACTAGTTGAAATGTAAGGATGAGATTTCATGATCGAATCTGTATCATTCGTTTTCGAATCTTCAACAAAATGTTCTATTGTCTTAGAGAGAGGCTATCCAAAAAAGAAAATTTTTGTAGAGTTATTTTTTTTTTCTTTCAAACTTCAATATAATTAAAACGATGACAAGTTGATTTTATTCATCAAAGCTGTGTGGACATCTGATAATACTATATAAATAATTCAACGATAAACTCACAACGTTCTCTAAAAACATGTTAATAGAATTCCCATGATACTGAATTTTGTCATGTCCGCTTTATCATTCTTTTTATACTTCGATCACTTGATTGATCGAAACGTAGATAATTCGAGTTTTCAATAAGAGAGTGACACGAAAGGAATTCGTTGCTGTGAACTGTAAATATCTTGGGTAATAAACTATTGCGTAATTAATCATAGAAACGATTATTTAAATGATCAATGTTCGTAGCTTCACACCGTATTTCTCAATAGAGTGAAACTTAAATGATATCTAGTTGTCTAAAATTAAGCAAATTGAAAGTTTTTGTTACCTTCAATGACAGACATTATCAATGGTGTAATTACAGATGTCAATCGTATTCGAAAAATCTTTGACAAATATTGTTATGTTTTATTATATTCAAAAAATTGATCTAGATATGAAACGAGAAGTATTAAATATTAATCTTTTGTTATTTGTGATAGTTTTTAGGAGAACTGAACGATAAATTTAACCAAGAAATGTTTGATTTTTCATTTAAGGTAATCATATAATTAACAAAAAAATAAAAAACGTTGTTATCGACAAATTGCTATTCGATTGATAATCGAATATTGAACG